TTCAGCTATATGTTTCGATTATATACATTTTTCACACACAACATACATTTTTCGTATACATATGGAACAAAAATGTTATGCAGGTTTAACCTTTTTCCAGATATATGGTTAGTTTTTTTTTCTAATATATGCTGTAATGTCTATTTTTCATTCATATTGTACATTTTCTATATTAGCATTTTTTAATACGTGACTGATAAATTTTTTGACACACAATGTACATTTTTCGAATACATAAGGATCAATTTTTATACAGGTTTAACTTATATATATATATATATATATATATATATATATATATATATATATATATATATATATATGACAAATGTTTCCTACAAGCAGTGGTAGTTACCACCACTTTCGTTTCGTATGTTGTATGTCTGTCGAAAACGAGAGTATGTACGTGTAGTATGTAGTATGTAACAATGGTTAAGTAGTATATATACTAATTTTTAGGTAGTATGTACCATGTTTTGAGTATGCTCTTTTTTACGTACAAATATGTACGTATTTCACAAATATAACAAAAACTATGGGCTCATATGCAATTTTTCCATGTAACTTGCTTTGAAATATCTTAGATATATTATATGAACATATTTAAAATAATAAAATAGTATATATAGTACCACATGGTAGTATATGAGATATGTGGGGTAACTACCACCGGGTGGTAGGATGGATTTTCCCTATATATATATATATATATATATAGTGATTAATGTATATTTTTCAAATATATGGTTTTACATCTACTTTTTCCATACACATTGTACATTTTTTGTATACATCAGAAACATTATTTTATACTCCCTCCGTCCCATAATATTAGAGCGTTTTTGACATTACACTAGTGACAAAAACGCACTTATATTATGGGACGGAGGGAGTACATGATTAACAATATTAAATACATGATTTTTTTTCAAATATATGTTTTGATGTCTACTTTTTTCATACATGTTGTACATTTTTCTATATACATAAGAAAAAAATTATATACATGATTAACCTTTTTTAAATATATAATTATCTTTTTTTGAAATATATGTTTTCATGTCTACTTTTTTCATAGATGTGGTACATTTTTCGTATACATTAGAAACATTTTTCTATACATGTTTAACATTATGTTTACACTGCTATACCACCTTTGAAATAGGTAATGAATGCTTTAAAAAATGAAAATGAAAACCAGAAACGACCAGGAGAAAAAACACAAGAAAAATCAATATAAAAAAACAAATTTTTTTGTCTATGCATTAGATGGCATTAGACGCGAGTTCAGGGATCCTTTGCGGGAGTCTAGCAAGGCTTACTTTGGTGGGTTGAGTGCGCGCCAAGTAGTGCGTCCAGCTGCCATCATGTGTCATGTGATGGGCGCTTCTTCGGGGTTTTCTTCTGTATGCGTTTTCGGGTTTTAGATATTTTTTAGGGTTTTCTGCCTTTTCGGTTTTCCTTATATTTTGGAGGGAAAAAATCAAAATAATTCTTTTTCTGTGTTTTTTTTTGCTTTCACAAGAATCACATATTTGCTTCCGCGAGAAGCGCGGCTGTGCGCTTCTCGCAAAAGGGAAAAAGAAAAAGAAAAAAGTGCTTCCGGTCCTTTTTTAATTCATAAAAAAAGTTTGATGAATCCTATTAAAATAGGATCTAATTTCAAAGATCTCGACGTGAGAAATCCAGTGCTGAAAACGGTTCAGTATTTGGACGCATGGTTCAAAAGATGATACTTTTTGAATAAATGAATCTACGAAAAAAGGAAAAACTCTTAACGACCAATGACACACATGCAATGCGCCACTTGTCAGGGTCTGAGAAGATGGAAGTGACATTTACAAGGGTGAGAAAGTTTTCAAAAAGTAGAGTTTGTGGTGTGCCGAGGTTTCCAAAATAGTCTCATATGAGTAGCCATGTGTTTTACATGAATTCTCGGTGATGCGTGGGAAACATACAGACGGGAGCAGATAAATAGGACTATTAAGGCCTTTCCACATGCAACTAACAGTAAGGGCAACTCCAAGAGCTCGTCTAAAAAATGTTCCGTAAAAGTCGTTTTACAGGATGTCTGTATAATTTATGGGAAGTTTTCCGACAACTTTTCCCAATTCCTGTAAATATCATCCTGTAAAATCTTTTATTTTTATTTTTTATTAGACCAGGTTTAGGGCCCGTAAGTCAGTGTCACGTTCGATGGTGGCTGTGGCCGGGCGACACGGCGGCGGAAAGCAGTGGCACGGCGGCCAGCACAGCAATGCAGTGGTGACGAGGCAACATCATGGCGGTGCGGTGGTGTGGCGGCACGGGGCATCGCGACGGGGCGGCGGCGGCGTTTGTGAAATTCAGGCAGTTATCCACCCGCCAAAATTATATGTGAAGGGCATCTTCCCGTAAACTTTGAGGACCAATGAGGTGTTTTTACGGTCCCGTCAAAATTTTCTGGGTCTACGGGAGCTGTTGGAGGCCTTTTTTGCCCCAATTTTCCGTTTTAACGATACAACAGCTATTGGAGTTGCTCTAACAGAGTACTGTTTTCGAGAGTAACAGAGTACTGTTAACCTGACAAAAGAAAGATGTTGTAAATATGCCAACCCATGGCATTTTGAATTTGAAGAGCTCCTTGGCACTTGCTTTTGTAAACCAGAATATTACCCAGATTGGTTGTCGGTGTTTATGCCTTTTCTTAAATCTGATCAACTGAAGCAACATTTTACACGACAAGCAAGTCTGATCTGATGCAACATTTAAAATGCTAGTCTGATGCAAAATCTTCAGTTGAGTACAACACTTCAATTTATTTTCAATCTTTTTAAGAGCCAAACAGTTCTCACAAAGCCCGTGTGCTGTGAGTCTGAGCTAGCACAAATGACACGTGATAGGGTCTGGGACCAAAACAATATCAAACTGACCTTTAGAAGGGTTTTTACACCTACTATGATGGAAAGTTGGTACTGCCTAGAACAAATTATTACTAGTACAAAATATCCTGGGGGTGAAGACTCCCCGATTTGGCAGCATGAATCCAAAGGGGAGTATACAACTGCGTCCTTATATAGTATTATTAACTTTAGAGGTATTCAGCCTATTTACATTCCTTCAGTTTGGTCTGTTAAAATCCTTCCTAGAGGACAAATTTTTCTGTGGCTTCTTCCTCATAACAAGCTGATGACCAGAGATAACCTCTCTAAAAGAGGCTTTGAAAAATCTCATGATTGTGTCTACTGCTCTCAGAAAGAGTCTATACAACACCTATTTTTTAAATGTGTGATTGCTAAACAAATTTGGGAATCTGTTTCAGATTTCTTCTCCTGCTCTTTGGGAACTGACTATCTTTCCATTGCTAGATTTTGGATAGCCAATAAGAAACACACTGCTCTAAATGCTATTTGTGCTGATGTGCTATGGGCTATCTGGAAACATAGAAACTCCTACATTTTTAGAAATATAATGTGGGTTGATTTGAAACAGATCTGGAACTTGTTGATGGGGCTATTGAGGAGATGGCTGATTCTTCCCAAGGACGCTGCTCGCGCGAAGATGGAGGAATTCATGACCAGGGTTACCTTAATCCTGAATACACCCTTCCAGATCACATTGGGGTAGTTGAGCTTGACTGAAAACGCCTTCAGTGTTTTCAGTCAAGCTCTGCTCGCCAAACTGAATCTGGGGATAATGTCAAACCTGCCTTCTGACGCTCTGTGGTCATCCCCGCCAAGGAGCACTAGCAGTTTCACCTGCAAGCATATCCTGCTGAGCCCTGTGACGCCGTTGGACCTCCTGGGCTCCCCTGCCCAACCAGCAAAGAAGATCAGGCGCCCTGGAGCTGCGACCACTGGTGTGTGGGAGATGAAGATCTCACAGCCACTGGAGGAAGCCAAGCAGGACAGCTGCGCCGCACTGGGAATCCCAGCCTGAGTCTGGATTGCCCACTGTAATAGCTCATTTGCTGGCCCGGGACTGTAATTTTGTACACCTGTTTTGCCTTTCTTGCTTTACTGAACTTGCGTTTCTGCAAGCTGCTGTTTCCTGCAAACTCTGGTTTCGTTATTAATAATGGAACCGGGGGGGCGTTAGCCCTCCTACTATTCTAAAAAACGCGCACAGGGGACAGTTACCAGCCTCTGATCAATTATGTTCAGATAACCCAACAAAGCTTTCATCTAGGCAAATGAATGGCTGGTAGACAGAGACGAACAGGCCAGACAGCAGTCAGCAACACGTTTGTTTCCTTTTTTTTTTGGGTCCCCCCATACCATTTTACAGTTGTTCTAGAGTCAAATCGACGTGCGAAAGAGGAAAAAAAAGGGTGGTCAGATATATAATTGATCCTCGTATATTCCCGTTACATTTGAACGTGGCACCAGCGACGAATAGACGTGGTCGGCACCAATATGACCACTGCAGCACGAAAACGTGTTATGAGGACGACGAGGACAAAGAAGTCCATGCAGATTCAACAAGCATTGCTGGCCGATGCTTACCGTCCACCAATATTTCCAAAGAACTGGTCTTTCCTCACCAGTTCGTCCTTCGCACTCCAGTCAAAGTCCTCTGCAATCAAAACACTACTACTTGTCAACTCGGACACCAAAAATCAAGACTTGTCTCTCCACCCAGCAACGAGAGAGAGAGAGAGGGAGCCCGGGGACAAGTCGTGCGCTGAGGTTGAGGACCTGAAGAATTTGTGGGAGCAGAGTATCAAGCAGAAGGCATGCATCCCCTCGATCAGTGACTTGGTGAGTATCTCCCCTTTTCAGTTCTCCTCGGTACAAGTGTCCAGCTCACTATTAGCTCCCACTCTCGTCAGATCTATCTGCTATGACTAATTCACTGGTGGAATTGGAAGCTCAAGCACAGTCATCATTACAATAAACGGAGGTTCTCTAAATAATCTCTAGCTATTGGCTCTGCAAAAAAAGTGCTACAGACAGGAAATTTCTAATATATGTTGTTTTTAAACAAACTATGTAGGGAGCAGATACAAGGAGGAGCAATCAATGGCTGAGTCTGCTGTTAAGGCCGTGGTCGGGAATGTGAGCAAACTTGCGGTTTGGGAAACCTCACTTTTATGTGGTGTCACAGGTGAAGTAGGATTCTTGAAAGATGAACTGAAGCGGTTAAAGTGCTACCTTAGATCTGCTGATGCTAAACGGAAATCAGGAGACGAGTGTGTGGCTACCTGGCTCAGCCAGATCAGGGACGTGACATATGAGTCCGAGAATGTCATTGAAGCTGCAGATTACATGGAGAAGAGAAACAGGCTGAAGAATGGATTCTTGGGTGCCATTTCAAGGTATGCTCGCTTGCCAAGTGACATGGTTACCCTTCATAAAGTTGGTGCTGAAATTCAGCGTATAAGAAGGAAGATCAGTGAGATATTTGACAGTGCAAACCGTTTGAATATTGATTTAGATACTAGTGTTCTAGGTAAGTGTTGTGTCGAGGATGAGTTTCCACGAGGCAATGATCTCATGGATCAAAACTTTGAGGATGATGTTGTCATTGTTGGTTTTGAGGATGAGTGCCAGGAAATAACGGACAGGTTAGTCGACAAAGAGAACAATACTCTTAGTGCTATCTCCATAGTTGCCATGGGTGGGGCGGGAAAAACATCACTCGTCAGAAAAATCTACACTTCATCAAGAGTAAAAGAACACTTCGACACAGTTGCTTGGGTGACTGTGTCTCAAAAGTTCAAGGCCGTTGATTTACTCACAAGTATTGTGGGACAAATAATGGGGGCCAGAGTTGGTTTTAATATCTGTGAGTGTGAGGTGGGAAAGGAGATACATAATTTTCTGTTGCAAAAAAGATTCTTAATAGTTCTTGATGATGTTTGGGAAACAGATACATGGGAGCAAATAAACAAAATGGTTAAAGCATTTCCAGATGTAGCTAATGGTAGTCGAGTGCTGTTAACCACACGAAAGCAAGATGTTGCGAATCATGTGCAAATGCCAACTCGTGTCCATCATTTGAAGAAGTTAGACGAAGAGAAAAGTTGGGAACTTTTTAGTAGCAAAGCTTTACCATCATACAGCAGGTGTGCTGTATGTGATGTGGATGAGTTTGAAGAACTAGGAAAGAAGCTTGCAAAGAAATGTAATGGATTACCGCTTGCACTTGCAGTTTTGGGGGGTTATCTATCAAAGAATCTGAACAGAGAAACATGGATCAATATACTCTTGAGCTGGCCATCAACCAAAGACGGACAGATGATGCGAGACATACTAGCTCGCAGTTACAACGACCTACCAGATCATTATTTAAGATCATGTTTCCTCTATGTTGGTGCTTTCCCCGAGGATTATGAAATATCTGTGTCGGATCTTATTGAGTTATGGATAGCAGAATGCTTCATTCCACATACACCAAAACATACACTGGAAGAAATAGCACGTAAGTATGTAACTGAGTTAGCTCAAAGAAGCTTGGTCCAAGTAGTTAGTAGAAGCAGAGCACATGGATGGATTGAAAGAATAAGGATCCATGATATCTTGCGTGACTGGTGCATAGAAGAAGCAAGAGAAGACGGCTTTCTTGATATGATTGACAAAACTGCATGTCAGGCTTCCTCTCCTCTCTTTTCATATAGCTCTTTTTTTGGTTTCAATATATGTCTTGGTATGGTGTTTCTTGCTGACATGTGGATGCACTTTATAATGCAGGCTGGGATAGCGCATCATCATTCGAAAGGACGCTATCCTATCGCGCTTCATTCCAAAACTTCAGCGGTCAGATTTTACAGGCAACAACTCCTAATCTACGAACTCTGGTTGGCTTTGAACTTTCATCAATATTCCTACCTAAGCTGAGATTCCTGAGAGTTCTTCACATTGAAAACTCAGACCTCGAGAATTTCGCTCCAGCCATTGGTGGGTGCATTCATCTAAGGTGCCTTAGGTTGAGAAGATGTGGAAATGTAACACTCCCTTCTTCAATTGAAGAACTCCTTTACTTGCAGATTATAGACCTGAGGAAAACAAACTTGGACTCAACACTACCAAACTCTCTCTGGAATATTCCCACTCTAAGGCATGTTTACCTGAGCAGTGCATTTTCTTCACCAAGGAGTGTGGGACACAAAGAGCTCCAGACCTTATGGTTGACTTGTGCGTCTGTTGGTACCAAATATCGCTATCATGACATGGTGACGTTTTTGAGAAAAATGAGACAACTGACAACCTTGTTCTTGGTAATGAAGCCCATGCATGCTAAGATAATGAATATATTTGCGTACATGCCTCACCTGGTTGATATTCATCTCGCCAGTTTTGGTGTGCTTGATAAGCTTCCAGAGAGTAATCACTTCCCGCAGAGCCTTCGGCATCTCTATCTAGAAGCTGATGTCATTGAACTAGACCCGATGCCGATCCTGGAGAAGCTTCCTTGTGTTGTGGTGTTGGAGTTGTCAGGGTATAAAGGCCGAACCATGTCATTTTCTGCCCAAGGGTTTCCTCGTCTCCAAGAGTTAAAACTTGATAATTTCTCCGTCGAGCAGTGGAGGATGGAGGTAGGAACAATGCCAAAGCTCTCCCACCTGAAACTTTGGTTGTGCAAGGAGATGTGGAAGTTACCCAACGGATTGTTGCACCTTCCATCCCTCAAGAATTTGAAATTAGTCAGTAAGTCCCCGATTTCTGGAGATGACAGCACACTGAAGGAGCTGGAGCGGAGAGGATGCAAGGTAGCTTACTATGCCCTCATGTCCTTTAATACTATTTACTACTGTTTACAGTCAGATATTACAGTCCGCGCATATATTTTCAGTACAAGTTCTGTTTTAAACTTATCTGTGACTTGCTCTCTATCCTTCCCTGCCTTGCTTGTTTGGAATGATGGTTTAGGATCAACAGCTTGCGCGCTCAAGTTTTTTTCTGTTTTTTTTCTCTTGCAGGTGGAACTTTAAGAAGGTTTACGAGTGGAACTTTAAGAAGATTTACGAGTGGCGGACACGTCTAAGTATTATTAAGTACTACTATTTCCTAATTCAGATGTCTTTGGCCCCTTGTTGCGGTGGCATGAGAGAAGGATGTATCCTTCCTGCATGTATCTTTATCGCCAAAATTATGTGCATGTATGTTTTGCCTGAATGTAATTAATAATACAAAGGGCGATACGTCTAACCACCGGTGAATTTAGATGACTGTGTGTATCTATATTTCTGATTTGAACCGTCGATGGATTTTGATTCCCACAAACAAAACTGCTGTGTTATTAGGTCAGTCAGTTTATTTTTCTCTCTTCAGATGGTGAGCACTCACTTATCAGCTCGTGCAATGTCAGTCAGTTTGGTTCAGTTCACTGAATGCCAAGTTCTAGACTCGGATGCCCCAGGTTCTGCTTCCCTTTTCCCATTTGTGCTACACCTGACGGTACACTAACTTTATTTTGGTTATATTCTGCACGCAGCGACAGCAAAAGAATCGGAAACACCATCCACAGTCAACTAATTT